TTCTTGACCACTTCAAGCATGGTTGACAACTGTCTGACCTTCAGATTTCAAGAGAAGTTTCTGGCAGCACATGTGCTCCCATAACTACATTGCAACTCCGAGATAAACCATTCACCGTTCAGAGTTCTGTGTCCGAGATAATAGTAAGATCGTCATGTTATAGAATTTGACCACCGAGTGGAACATCTTAGTTTAATTTCTAAATGGAACTCAAATGTTTTCATTAGAGAAGTTCGCGCTCTCAAGGATGGGTGCAAAGTAAGAATTATCCGCTGGTCAAGATTTACTATGAACACGGCAAACTTAGCATATTTTGACACCAAGCACAGGCAGTTTAGAGCGTACGGTTGATGGGAAGCTTTATTCATGGTTAGGACCTGTTAATTTTTCTCTAAATACTTTCACGACGTTATATATCTGGAGGCCGTGGTATGTTCCGCCAAGTGACACTGAATGCGCTAGCTGAACATTTCCACATTTCCAGTTCACAAGGAAAGTCAAATTTGATGTATCTCCTTCGATCAACCCATGGTGTGTGCAGACCTGAATGTTCGTTTTATGTTGGTTGAGATAACCTTCGATTTTCATACACCCACACACTGAGCACCAGTCGAAATTTTCGGAGCACAGACCTGTGTCTGTTGTGCCTGTCACTCGGGTGCATCTTTGATATAATTGGTGACCTGAAAGGGTTACGCTTAGAGGGCTGCAACAGCATGGGTTTGTGTGAAACATGAAAAGCCGCACAAAATTTCTGACGTCAACAGACTGCAAATGATTGAAGCTCAAAAGTGGGAGCAAATTGCTACTCGTTTCGCTACGATCCATGGCATTAGCAGGATCCAAGCTTACAAGATTATATGGCAAACGGAGGGCCTCGTAAAACAATGTGACCATGAGCTCAAAAACTTACGGGACAATGTAAGCGCCTAAGAGTAACAGTTATCGTTTCCATGTATTTGTCAAGCGTTTCAGAGTTTTGAATGCGTAGAATGTGACTGAATTCTTTCTTTATGCATGGAAATTCATGGTGTATATTTTTGTAATGCACTACTCATAAGGTTGCTGAAAACTCCTCGACAGCCCACGACCGGTTTCGCCCTTCTTGGGGCTCATTAGGTAGGCGCAGCTCTCAAGGTTTCGTCAACCTTAGGTTCTACTCAAAACCGAATTGCACGAAGTTGGCGAAGTACACCCATTTGCAAACAAATTCGGTTTTTCGGGAGATCCACCTAGGACCCATCCGAATCTCTCGGTTTTGATGTTTTCAGGCAACTGAGTGAGGCGAATGAGTGTATTTCAAGTGGCAACCAAGGTTGACGAAAACTCGAGGACTGCGCCTACCTAATGAGCCCCAAAAAGGGCGAAACCGGTGGTGGGCTGTCGAGGAGTTTTAAGCATCCTTATGAGTAGTGCATTACAAAAATATATATGTATCGGGATATCTTGAATATCGTGGTGACTGAAACATGAGGCGGCCTGGTGCAGCACATTCAGTTGCCTGGAAACACCGCAAACGAGAGATTAAGCTGGGTTCCAGGTGAGTCTCTCGAAAAACCAAATCCGTTTGAAAATGAGTGTATTTCGCTGAAACTCACAATGTTTTTCGAAGCCGGCGTCTAGACTTGTAGAAGAAGAAACAAGAAATGTAAATTTTAGGAGATTTCTGTGGGCAACTGAAAATTGCTGTGGTGTAGTGGGCAATTTTTATCCAGAGTAGAAACGCTCTTTGCGTTTGTTTTAATGCCTGTCCTATCTTTTCAAATACCTGGTTTTCTAGTCCCTAAATTTGTGCTCTGTTCAAGACCGCGAGGGATTTTGGATCTGCTTTCCAAGAGGGACTACAAACGACCACAACTATGCCCACCGTACTCCTAGCCTTGCACCGGGCAAATCGTTTGAAGATGATACGCACTGATAGCAGTATCGATTAAATTTCTGAAAATTCCAGAAACTAAGACTCCGGTTGGGGAATAGAGTAAAACTAATCTTAAGTAGTTGTGCAGAACTTCACGTAACTCCAAAATTGTTTATTGGAAGAATGGATTGGGTTGCAAGGAATGCCGTTATCAAGGCACGAAATTCCAATTTGTTTGAAAGATTCTCCGCCAGCAGTCCTAAGCTCAGGGGCGTGTAACTATTCATAGATGTGAACCAACAATATGCCTCTCCCATTTGCAACAATGTTGTAATTTATATTTCATATGAAGGCAGTCCCGATCCTACTCCGCATTTTTTCCAGTAGTAATGAGACTGTTGTGGTCAGGCCAACATGAAGTGGAAATGAATTATATGAGACTGAGAACTTCCTGGGAAACAAATATTTCAACATGATGTTGATCTGTATAGATTTGATTTGGGGGTTGGCACTGCTGATGACACTGCGTCATACTGCAATGCAACACAAGTCGCAAAAGACAGAATTACGTCAGTGGCAGACGACCACCGTCTAACCTAGAAAACTCTGTTGCACATTGAACCCATCGGGGCGCACAACACTGACAGTGCCTCGACTGACGTCTTCTCCCATTTGAATCAAAATCTGGTTTATTGAGACAGGGAAAACGGGCACCTTCTCTGAAAGCAGAACAAAGAAGCATATAACTTAAGAAAAGCAATTTTACAAAGCAAATATATAAAATGAATCTCTCAATCACACTAGTGTACCAAATTTTGGGTGAATTTCTTGGGCATTTAGAACCTGTCGTAACCTGCTTTATCAGTATTAACTATATATAGTCGACCAACTATTTTTACGACCTCCAGGCGGTTCTATTTAAGCCCGAGGTTTTGTAAAAGAATTCAGAACAAGTTGTTATTTTATTGTAGATAGAAGGTGAATAGCGAATTCTCACCCAGTTGTCTCGTTTTCCGAACCTATCTGCTTACATTTCTATTCTATAGCCGATTGTTGTGTACCTTGCAGAAAATGCAAGTTTCCGTGAAATTTCAACCACTGTTAGCTCCAGATCTCGCACAACAATTAAACGTTCGGATGAACAAAATATTCCGGTGTTGTTCAGAAACTAATTGTGCTGCGCCATGGATAACGGATCCAGCGACCAAGCAAAACCAAGTATCCTGCGTTGTAGAACGAAATGTGTATGAAGGTTAAGTGTGAACCGAACTGGGCAAAACTTGCCGTGAATCACGAGATTTCGCAGGCTTCAAACACTGCCTAAGTTTCATTGCCAAAATGTGCGCTTGGTTTTCCGCAGTGACCAAAGACATGGATCATTCAGCGTGCCGATTACTAACTACTTCTGTTAAAATAAGTTACTGCAGTCCTCTTTTAAAAGTAGGATTGCTGTACACGTTTTAGTGCGCGATATCGTTGAACTGTTGATTACTGAAAGCTGGTCAGATATTTGTCGAAATCATTTGAGAACATGCAACCAGTATGTTTCCACGTGAATTGTGTTGATTCAGCCAGCTAGGTGAGTAATTATGTTGGCCAGGGAAGTAGCGATCACTTTGTGCCTGAGTTATAATGACCTAGGTGAACCTTTTGACTAATGGCTTGCGAGCAAACCAACATCACGACTTTAGCTTGGCTACCTCCTGTCAATCCTCTTTCTACATGTCTGCATCCACTTCAATAACTGAAATTCACGGTAATTTTATGTTATCTTGGGGCATGTATTTTACAGGAACTGTGATCTCGTCACTTATTCAGGTTGATAAACTGCTTTCTAGCCCACAGGCACTGTATCGTGCGCAAGCGTGTGTGGAGACTGGGCATGATCTCACTCAAAGAAGCAAAAATATATCCTACTAACCAGCGACGATCGCACTTAAGTTTGTTGAAATGAATGGAGTTCCGCAGCATATAAAAATTGTACTATCTCGCGTTCAACACTGCTGAGTGTTAATCTTTGGAAGCTTTGGACCTCAAATGTGTTCTGTGCTCAGTAGTTTCTTTGTTTACCATCTATTAAGACCTGGGAAGCTGTTCGTTTTTCACCGAGTAAATTTCCAAACCAAAGTTAACAGGGTAGACTCAGATGCAGATTTACAAAAGTACGTTTAAAGATGTATCGATCATTGGTTTGGAAAAAGTAAATGTTTACCATTGGGATCATCCACCTTAGGTGTCAAGCCATTTAGTAATTTCCGGTTGAAACCGCAGCTCCGGAAGCAAATTTCTAAATCTCTGCATAATAACTGTTAGATGGAAAAATTTGTTTTTACTACTTTGCGCCATCTGATATTATCCTAAAATGGCTATTAGTTTCAAAATGACAGGTTGCTTTGAAGAACCAGGCGGAAACCAACCGCCTAAAATTTTACGACAGCAATCCAAGAAAAGCGCTTGTTTCGCACCATACAGGAGTATTTAAAGGAACTCACGTACAAGAGGGGCTTTGTCTTGGGGGATTGGTCATTTTAAACGAAGCTGTACACTGAACAGCTGCACTGTAGATCATCACTGAGGAGGCTGTTCGTGCCCTCTCCCTGGCGTGTGAAAAGACCTAGATATTCTCCAAGCAGTAAAATGTAGAAAGTACTGGGGGAACATTCGGTTCTGTAATAATAACTCGAAGCGAAACATCCCATAGTGAGACAGAATTTATTACGTTTTCTGGTGTTTTTGCCTCACATTGTCAGAAAAATCATAAATACTAAGTCCAGTTTGTTTCTTGTGACCAGTTTCGCAGGATGCCAACATGTCTGGAAGAAGAAGTCAATAATACATGAGCAACATACTATACCTCACTGTCCTAGAAACCCACAAAGTGATTGAGGTAGCAACGTTTAGAACCATGAATTACTTTCCCAGGCTATGCGCAATGGAGGATAACGTGTCCCTAATGACACAGAAGAAATTCCACCAATGTAAGTTATTCGATACAAAAACTGGACCGACTAACCCGAAGTAGCTAAAGAATAAAGAGATTGGAGATCGCTGGAAACCAAAATGAGGCGATTAAAATGATGCGCTCGATTCAGAAGGATTTTGACTAAAGAAAAATTTACATGATTTTTTCTTCCTCGAAAAGGCTCCACTACCACGTCTACCGGTTCCCAAGCTCAAAAACACTTTGGACCGTTATCTTCGTTTGGTGGCACCAGTCGTTGCACCAGATGCTTATGAGCGCACGAGGAAGATAGTAGAGGAGTTTGGCCGACCAGGCGGTGAAGGAGAACGTCTACAAAAACTTCTTGAAGAGTTTGCAGAAAAGCAGCTCAACTGGGTATGTGTTCGGCAACCAAAATGTTCACCATTATCACATTTTTTTCGTATAAAATTCCAGGCAGTTGGGCAGTAATGTGATTGTCGAATGCCAGTAAAAAAGTTTCCTGGTTAGAATATTTCGTTTTTTTTTCATAAATGGTCCCAAGGATGCAATCAAGATTTTGGTATGGGAGTCGTCAGTAGACCTAGCAGTTTACGGAAATTTGATGCATTTATTAAAATTGTTTAGCAAATGGTTTCACGGAAACAGCATAAATCAAAGTTTTTTTAATATGTTAACTTTCCCTGGAAAGTATGAGGCACGAGAAAAAATGAACCGATGGTTAGGAGGCACATTTCCAAACGGGGTGTTTTGTCGCAGGCTTTGTGCGTATCTTAAAAAGCAGGTTATGCTGTGTGTGCACAGCAATCATCTTTGCGTATTAGAAAACTTCTGACTGATCCCCACTCAGTTGCGCACACTGTGAATGCATGCCAGGTTGAGACATCTGTGCAACTCCCGACAACACTATGAAAGTGTCAAGATCCTAACGTTTTAATCATTCCGACCAGATTTCTTTCGTGGCGGATCCAACGTGAGTGCATCACGCACAACTTGCTATCTACGCAGCAAAGTCCCTTGTTATTGCACAACCCCTTAAAAATGTCAATAGAACTCCGTCTTGTGTGTTACCAGTATTCAGGGCCTCACACCTCCATTCGCTTCTGTGAGCGATAGTTGTCACTGTTGTGGATATCATTATCATGGGTATCCAAATCCATTTCCTGAACGCTAAACTAAATAAAGTTTTGAATTTAATGGTTAAGCCAGGCTGTATAACCAGCTAGAAAATAAACTCTCCTTCGTTACGGTGCCTGAATACCTGTCTCCAGGACTGCATATTAGACGGTACATCATGGCTGCGTATGCAAAGCAATGACCGAGGTTTAATTCAATGTAGTAGACTTCGTTTTTATTTTCAAGAAAAACTCTGAATGCATTCAGGGTTGGGCATATGAAACTCATTGGTGTTTCACTTGTACACGTTACCACACAACCTTCAAAGGTGCTTCAAGGCGTAATAATTTAGTGAGTGTTCAACCGCTGACCTATCGCTGTGCTCCACTGCGCTTCCTAACAATTCACTGGTGAAGTCAACCCTGTTGATGGTTAAACGCTTGAAGTCAAATTGCCCAGCCAAGCGAACAAGCAAGCGACAAGCTTCACCGTATATGTGTGAATATATATATAAGAAATGCATGGCACAGTTTCTCAGTGTCATCTTTGTTATGATAACAGAACTGTTGCTACTTGGCTGCGGTTTGTCAGCATCTGAGAAGATAATGCAATCCAACTTTTAGTTTTTGTGAAACTCGGAGCGTTTAACTGCAAATACGCAGTCTTCACAAGTTATTTCCTAATGTAATATTGGTTGTTTCGCTAACTTAATAATAAATAAAATTTGCTGATATCTTGTACAAAGTTTTTAATGAGATTCCATAAACTGCAATCGATATCTTGTGGTTAATTCAATGATGACTTGTATATTTATTGTCTAATCCTAAAGGCTTTTAATCTATCTACCCTTTCAAATATAAGGATATATTTTTGATTTCAGAAAGTAGAGCACCAGTGCCACAAAGGATTGGATTAATTTATGAGCTAATGAAACTTTACCTTATGTTAGACTTGAGATTGCATGTGACGTCTTGAATTGTTTGCTTGAAAACAAATACAAATTTACTTATTCACACATCCATCCAATTAATTTAGTGCGTCCTTCTGAAACTGAAGCGAAAATTGATATACAATCAAGTTCATCATTGGTGCAAAACACTGAATGGCCTTTATCCTAAATGTTCTGTAGTTGAACCTGAAAATTCTCATTTAGTTCATTCAGTTTATAAAATGTCGTGGTTTCTTCACCGTTGTGAGTAGTTAGAATTTTTAAGAGTACGAGTGTTCGGTTTGCATTTGGCTTTTCGCTGACTTACTCTGTTTGTCCTCCTATAAAGAGATAACTAGCTGGGAGCATTGTGTTTGGCGTTTAGTGCATATAGTTAACGACAGGGAAACGGGTTGTATGTTACTTTCTAAGAATACAATTTTCGCGACTCTTTGGAAATCGCTTGGATGTGGTTGCATGCACAGTCTATCCCGGCTTCTTCATCTCTGTCAATTTTGTTTGGGTGCACCATACCTCCAGTTCGTCCCACAATCACAAGACTTGACAGAATGGCATACTAAAAGACATATGCCAAAGCCCACAGTCTCCTCCAAGATGAAGTGCTCCTAAAGCCGTCAAAGGATCTTAATAGGCCCAATAGTTTTGCGATATACATCTGAAATTAGCGGTTCTCAAACTAAGAAATTGTCAACAATTATGTGCTAACCTTTCCGGTACAAAACTATGTATTACTTATCGTGCCTTTATAAAATCAAAATGGGTTAATTGAAGTTCATTTTTATGGTAAGAAGAGTCGAGCCAACAGAAGAAAGTTATTTCTGACTACGGGATGTTGTACGTTCAGGTGGGTGTGCTAATGCTTTCCTTATTCCCAACGTGGAAGATTAGGGAGGATTTACTGTAGACGATAAACAAACAAGCATTTATTTTAAGCATTCGGTTGGTTAACACGAACCGAGATTGACCAGAACAGCCACTTAATGAATGATGGTAATGCTTGGGTGTGTATCATGAACAATGCCTACAAAATGCTCATACCTTGACAAGAAGGTCATTCTTTTTCCAAGAGGAACTCAACTGTCGGAATGGGGAAAATATTCAAACCGAAGAGATCTTCCTACCTCTTAGAGTTGTACATTCATCCTTGCAGGTGTTTTTTGGCGGGGAATTAGCCGAGTAGCCCCAAGTTTAACCACGTTCTACTCAGTTGATTGTTTCCAAAGTGTCACATTAAGATTTCGTCTAGGGCATACAGAAGGAATACCACATTTGTCTCGTAGTTTATTTCACTGAGGAATGCTTCTAGCCATCTTTGATATATACTGATCGTTATCGCAGAGACAAAGGTATTTGCTTTTGCCGATCCGTGGGGGCGCTAATACCCTCTAATCATCAAAGGAAATTGTTTCTCGAAATGCTAAAACACAGCTGGTGTATCGATCAACGAATGCTCACTTTGCACGGTCACTTATTGGATTTTGGTTACCAAAGTTTCCAGCTATGTTTCAACATGGTATCGGGATGCGACGAATTGATTCACTTGCGTATTGATGGACTGATTCGGCTAATTGCAGATGAAGACCGTGAACTTGCACACAGAATTTGGTGACAAACACAGGAGTAGAGTGCTGTCCAAGGTAGACGTATTTTTGTTCATACGGCACCGACTGTGACCATGACCGCCCATTAAGAATACATAGGTCTATGAAAGTAGGTTTTGGGGTGAGACATCCTTTCCTGCATATCCATCACAGTAAAAGTCGTCCGATTGTTCACCATAGGTAGTAAACCGACCAACTGAATAATTATGCCAGAGTTAACCATAATCAACAGGATAAAATTGAAAACTAGGTTAAAAAGCAATAAAAACGAGTATCAGCCTGTTTTGCAAAATTTTCGAAACCAGGGTTTTGAGCTGGTATATCACGATACAGTGGATTCCATTCGCCACCCTGCAAGTTGCTACACCTTTCTTTTCCAAGGTCACGGATTGGTGGCTGGACGATATGTATCTAATGAACCCACTGCCATTGCCTATCAACTCTAGTCCGGGCATGGTGTTTCCCAGACATTCATTTATCAGCAGTCGGCAGCAGCTCAGGTGAGACAATCAGAACTTATTGGATAACACGCTTGTTCTCGCTAATTCTGCTCGTTTTTCATCACATTAAGCTTCTTACTGTCAGTTATAAAAGCTTCCAAAGGGACCTGTGGAACGGGTGATTTTGATTGTAACAGGCACATTCACTCACCATAAAAGACACGGGGAAAAAGGCACTTTCAAGAAGAATGACATTGTCAGCTTCCAATAAGACTTTGAATCCACTGGGAAGATAATTTTATATTATCCAGAAAATCCAGTATTTGCTGCAAAGTTCTACAACCTTTTCCCCAAATGTGCTTCCTGATAAGTTTGCAGCTTAGGTTTGAAAAGAACACTGCAGCTTGCAGTCTCAGTAGCTGAGTGGGTCAAAACAAGTAAAAGGCAAGAAACAGATAAAAGAGTCACACCTACACAGTTACCGCTAGATGTATGAACAAAGTTATTCTGTCCATAGAATACTGAGGACGAATTTGTGGAGGTGTTGTTGAAAACCCGGAAGACTACCTGCTTAACTCTTTGCGCACCGGCGACTGCTGCTGGTTTTCGTGCTATTGAAGTGCACAGGAAATACGCTAATCCTATGTGTACATGAGAATAGTAGTAAGCTAACTGACACTTTTTTCAAACGTTTGATGTAACTTTGATGATAATGCACACTTTTTCATTGGTGACTGGAAGGACAAGGTGAGCAAATATTGTTATGCAATACTGTCATCGAATGAATGGTGTATAAGCGTTTACGACGTCCCACGTGATCCTACATATCAAGCGGACAGTGGAACAGAGAAACGATGGTGACCGTGAAGCTTCTGCTCACGTGCGGAGGGAACGTTCATCTACTTTATCTTGCGGCACTAAGCGTTATGGTAATTATTATGGTTCGAATTGTCCACTCATATAAATGTCTAATCATGCGTTGGGTTACATTCAAAACGACACTTTGCACATAGTTTGCTGGGAGTCTGAAAAAAATTTAACGTGTGAAATGACGTCACTCTATGTGGAAATCCAAGAAAAGTAAGACTGTGCCATGTTAGAAGTTATCAGTTTTATGCACATCAATAAACTCTGGGGAAATTCGTAACCGAAATTCCCCGCCTGAACACTTTTTCACTCTAACACGAGTCGCTGACCATCAGTATGCAGGAGTCTTACTTAGATTCAGTCACACTTTTGTCACACTGTGCACAGCCGTGCAGAGTTCAACAATTAATCGAGAGTGCGTGGGTTCAAATATACCAGGAGTTCTTGCGATGCACATCGTTAATGATTTCCAACAGCAAGAAACCTTCTAAGTTTTTTGAGCATAGATAGATACCACTTGTGCTGTGGGACCTCCATTGGAATTTTTTAAATGGACCAGTTAAACCATAGTTTCATACGTATTCAAACCAGGTTTTCGTCATTGCTTGATACCACTGCGACAACTCAAGGACCCCGGTGGTTGTGAGGAGAATAAAACCACCTTAGTGGCAGTAAAACATGGTAAATTAAAATATTGCAAGATGGGCACTCTGAGTTAGGACAAAGAAATTCCCGTATATTCTGTATCCTGAAAACTGCTCCAGACATCAGGAAAAACACTTTTCTATTCGGATACAAATCCACGTCTGTATTACACAACATTGTGGGTCGTCTTTTGGCTCACCTGTACAAGCAACATGCACAGTTCCAAATTTCTTCATTACGAATGTCAAAACCTCACTCGCAAAAATTCTATGACTGTCTTTAGCAATTATGAAGCCAGATAGCAGGTGGGTTCTTAAAGCAAGCCAGAGATCAGTGTACATTTTGGACATGACTGTACAATGATATTTTCACCGAGAGGTTTTCCCGGATTCCAGCATGTCTTGCAAGTTATATGTTGTAAGTGCCAACAATGTGCGACCCAGAACCAAGTCATGAGCTGCTACTGCAACCATTATTGCAGTCGAAGATGTAAAACCACGGGTAATATCGTGAGGTGCCGCTTAAAGAGTCTGGAGTCATTTTAGAATACGGAATTTCTCAGGTTGTGCAACCAGTGATCGCAGAAACAATCAGACAAAGAAGAAACAAAGGAAGTGAAAAACGCCATCATTCCCCCTGGGAGCAACTGAACATCTATCTGGGTAGTCATCAGCAGAACAGCCACTTAATAAGTACTTAGATGTGACTCCCATGAGCAAACGATGAGTGGTGCCAAGTTTTACCCACATTAATGACCATTTCCATTGGTCAGACTGTTTGGCCTCCATATACTGCATTCACAGGTTGTGCTTCTGACTCCCTCATGGAGGTCAGTGAAATCTACACCGTTAATAATGGAAAAGGACAAGATAGTTACGCAGTGCTTCTCATCTCCGCGGCACAGACTGGCGCTAACTGCAGAACGAAATTTCTTTTGATAAAATCCCTGCATCTCCACATAAGTCATTTGAGTCAGGTATCTCAAGCAGATTCCCAATATGGACGGGATTTCCAGGGTCATTTTGTTGGATGAGAAGGTAACAGGCCTATCGCAGCCTGTCCATATGTTGCACGCAAATGTCTAGCACTATTGAACGATACCTGAGCTTCCCACAGAAACCTCTAGTTTGACACCAGAGTGTGAGGTGTAAACGGAAAACGTACAGTTGTTATACACGATACTGAAAGAGTGGTTAATAAAGGGCCTAACGTGATTTATGAATGATAAATATGTTCCATTACCTGATTGAAGACACGTTTGTCCAAACCTTACCACAAAATGTGGCACGCATAGTACACGTATGGAACGTACGAGTCACAGAATCATTGCCGTGACAAAAATGACACAGTAATTCTTTTTTGAACATGTTAAACCAAGATCATTTATTCCCCAAAAGATACATAATACCCTGATAATACCCTGATTATCTAAACAAACACACGATTTTTTCACTCAAGTTTTCCGAATCAGGAAGAGATCTATTTCAACGCATGACTTGGAAAGCAGAGGTTGGGAGCAGAAAATCGTCTCATTTTTAATGTTAAATTAGTGTGAGCATTTCGAAGCCTGTAGATTTTGAAATTGAGCACTATCTCGCATTTAAAGCTGTGCCCCTTAGGGCATGAATCGTGCCATAAAAAGAATGGATTATGTAACGACACCGCTCGATCCACTGGCTAGCAGATCCAAAAATTCTCAATCTAAATCTCAGTCAGTTTTCTTCTTCCGCATTTTCGATACTTACCACAAACATATTATTTACCCTTTAGTGCAGCCGGTCTCAGTTAGCACTGAGTTTGGAAGAAAAGGCGTATTGTAGACCAACCATTTGACAACTATCATGCGACTAGTTTGTTGGTTTAGTCTAGTGATAGGGAATCCTAACTCAAACAAATCATTTTTTCACGCTGACCTCAATGGATTATCGCACTAATTTATTGACAGTCAAGTGGAGGAGGGGAGGCCTTAAACAAACAAACTCGGGGTAATAAAAGAGCTTGAATATTTTTCTTAAAATCTATAGATTTCTAAGGTTATTCAGAATGAATTTCACTACGTGAAGCTCAGGTTACCGAGAAACGCTCACTTGAAAAGCAACCCATCGAATTCTCAATGTTAATTTGGGTGGGTGGGCGTAAATTCTATGCGTCTCATGTCACTCTGTTAAAATACTTCAGGGGATCGGAGTTGTTTGTAGGTACGTATTCTTCATGTCGTCGTTTGCCTACTAATACCTATAGAGATAGACAAACTGCTGCGCGTGAAGTTTAGTTCGTGTCTTGGCGGTTCTTCCCTTTAAAAAGAGCACGAGGCTACAGAGGCTCGTTGCTTTAGATATGATCCTTGGAATTACGCAGTGGTAGAATGAAACTAAATTATAAAACAGTGTAAGTCGATAAGTATCCGATAAGTAGGGAGAGGGTACCGCTGGTAAGCAATGTTTTTTAGAAAACAGCTCACATAAATTTAGTTCATTGGATTCACAGCCACTCATCAATAGCGGGACCCATTTCGCAGACCCCGGGGTTCATTTGAAACACACATTAGGAAGCTGAGCTCTGAATGTGTTGCACAGGTAGGCAACTCTTTGTGTATCTGAGAGACTGCGTTTGTGGCAAATCATTAAACTAAAGGTGTTTTCAATAGGGCTTAGGTGCTGTATACGAAGCAACTCAAGGACTTACTTGTTATCTCTCACACGAGCAAAAAGCGGTCTTTGTGAACTGCTTTGGCAGATGTAAATAGCAATGTGGGCAATGACGAGAAGCACCCACTCGGTTTTGAAAGATGAGGTTGAGGTCTCCTGAAGTTTATTATCTAACTTTATATCACTTCAGGTTGAATCAACCTGTAGATTCACTTGCTGATGAATTGATTTTTTATTCAGGGAAATTAGTTATTAGTTGCTTTCTTTTCACAAACCAAAGTGACGACCGCCCATTAAAGACTTGTGGGTGGAAGAAGTTTCTCAAACAAGTCCCACTTTGTCGATTCAGGCAAACTCAACTCAGTAGGGTGCCATTAAAAATCCCCAGGGCAAAAGGATCCGGTTAGACAAATCGGTAACTAAGTTACCAGCTATTTTGCTGCGCATCCGAGCTTGGTGTACTAGATGAGGTAATCCGATTTCGGATAACCAAGATTGAATTAGATGGTCAAAGAATCATGTGGAAACCCTTCCGCAAACGGATTTGATGTTCGAATGCTTGCATAGTGCACTTAGACAGAACTTTTACAGTCCATTTATACTGAGTGGACAAAAGCACCACGTCGTTCCAAACTGTAGCGTAAGTTTAGTGCTGCTGACTTTGTATACAAGAATAGCTGCTCCCAGTCCGAAAGACCTTCTTCAGTCAGTTTTATGACTACCTCTTGCCTGCAAACACACGGAGAACTGACAGGAATAAAATTGATTTCAGCCTATCTGAATAGGCTTGAATAGTTAACACGCACTCCGTGTCCAAATCACTCCGGCAATGAGTTAGGCTTATTTACCAATGATCATAATATTTTAGCATAGTGGAACCCTAAAGTACTTGCTACTCTTAGGATTTACAGAATGACACCCTTACATATTATCTAACCAGTGAAAAAATGTTCCTATTCCGAGTGTTTTACGGTGACTTTATGACGATCCCTTTGCATACTTTATGGTAAGACTGCAACCAAGTGGTCCAGCTACGCCAGTATACTGTAGTTGTCCATCCAAAATGACCTACAGCTACACATCACGGTGACAAATAATCTTTGGGTATTCCACTAACAACAGCAATACAGATAAACGAACTTCAGTCTTGGGTCCTATCTTACGTTGCTGTAACCATTTGGATGGATACCTCCAGGTTTACATCCCTTTTTATCATGGAACCTAAACCACGCTTCTCCACTGTGCTTAAGTCAAAATCCACCCACAGGAACTCTCGTTTGGTGATGCACTGAATAACTTGGGGTTTACCTATGTTTACTGAAGCACTAGATCAATATTCTCAGCCTATGTTGCTGAGTGAATAAAATAGTGAATCCGGGTTCCATCTTACCTGAGCAGTTTCAACGTGTGCACCAGCCCTCACCATTACAATGCAGATATAAGTTTAAAAAACGAAATACCTTTGTTCATGTTAATTAACAACGACGCAAAAGTACATTTGTGTTTGTGATTTTTTCTAGCATACCCTGGAGAGGTAACGCCTAGGTGTACTTGCTCCGAAGTTTAAATTGGAGTCCATATTAATGAGGATGACCTGTGAAAAAGTAAACCACTGGCTAGGTTCACCTGGGATGAAGATTATTACAGCATAACAGACAGACAGCTCTTCAACTGCAATGTGGTTGGAGTGAACTACGTTGACTTATCCTAAACTTAACTATTTTAAATTTATTCTTCGCTTGGTGCTGCAGCAAAATTCTAACAAAATTTTGGAGATCTGTATACTGTTCTCTGAAGCCACTGGGATTCCCAAACAACACTGTCCGCGTGATCGTAAAGAAGTCCTGTCATTTGAGAACACGAAGTCGAATCTGTATGATTTTGACCGGCAAACACTGGTGGGAATTGCTTGATTAGGGGTTTTTACCTAGAGTGGCGCTGGAAACAAGCAGAGTTGTGAGGTTTTGCTTTTTCTAATTTCTATAAAGCTACGCGTGAATTGGGAAAGTGGCTAGAAAAATTAATAAGTTTTTCAAAGTTTTTTTTTGCGAAAATACTGCGTTCCTGGGTGGTGTACCTTCTCTGAGCCTTCTTACTGTGCACAAATGTGCCATCGTCTACGTATTTGTTGTGAAAATTATACAGTGTGTGGTAATTTCTCAGAGCGTGTGGATTCGAAACATCTCCATTACTGCTCGAGTGGTACGTAGTAGCTTAGGAGAAATAAAGCAGCTTCAATAATAGTTGACGCTTCGCTCGTAATAGAGTTTGGGTGAATGATACGAACTGCGTTCAACAACAGAATGCAGTTCACTTGTTATTTTTTGGATGACTTGGAATAAGTTAGGTTGGTGCTGTTCACTTTGTGTGCCGAGCGAAATGAGGTCATCATCGCATACGTATCTGAAACTACACACCACTCCGATGACTATTCCACGTTTTCCCGGGCAGTCTTCGGGGTATTTCTAGTGCACTTCCCTCGGTTTATTCAACGTTTTGGCAATACAGTGCACCCAAACTGCCACACTATCAAGTTGCTTTTGCTCATCAGTTTGTTTCTTAAGCGGAACTTCTCGGCGGAGGGTTTGCTGGTGATGAAAAGCACCAGATTTGTTTCTTCACCGGCGCTCTCTTCAATTTATGCTTTCTACGAAGATGGACTACACTAATATAGTGTAGAAGGTTAGCTAATTCTATTTTCGTCCGACTACCTCCAACCCAAGCTGCAGCTGCGCGAAATGTTCGAACCTGTTCCCTACCTGACTGTCAATCATACCAAGTCATGTGAACAACAGTGTGCTGCTGTCAACGCATACCGTTGGATAGGGGTGATGACGTCGGTCACATTTTTGTACACTGTCCTTTCGGATAAATCCTTCAGCCATGGAATCAGACGAACTCGTTTGTTTGATTCAGTGGTCTGTGATATGGAAGGTATTGCGCTGTGGAAATACACGATGCCACTAACAAATCACCCCATTGAACTTTGTAGAATTTGTGCGACTAGTGTGAATAGTCGAACTTGCTCCAAGAAACACGTATAAAAAGGCAAATGGTCAGCAATTTAAAAAATAAGCTCTTATCGCGAAATTACCGAGTAAACGAACAGGGCACAAAAAGATGGCAGTACTTATTAAGACACTCTAAATAACGTTTCACTCTTGCAAGTACATTGTTGTGCGGGGAAACTTAGGATTCGGTCACTGCGTAAGCACCAGACCACATAAAAGTATAAAACGTTGAGCGCATCGTATTTTGTATAAGTATGAGAACTAAAATCCTACTATTGGTGCCACGCCAACAGTACCGAGTGTCTGATCGATTAAACTTGATTTAAAAAATCCTCTTCTGCTAGGTTGAAAAAGCGAGCTTATCTTCGGTCTGTTGACAGCCCCACCAAAACTTAGGAAAACCCTTCATCTACCAGAGAATAAGGCCAAATTTTTAGACAAGCCGTATATCTGACTGCCGTTCTAAGAAACCACGATCTACATGGAGTACGATTCAGTACGCATTTTGAGAAGCGTTCATCAATTCGTCTGAAATTAACTGATATGTGTGAAATAGTTCGATTAAAACCTATTCTCCTTCATTTTTCCCGTTAATTTGCGAATTAATTTATCGGTTTCTGCTGTGTTGTTTCGACAGATTTGCGGCTCAGTTAATCTCTGGTATTTTGGATTACAAAACCATCTTGGACACGTAAGTGCAATCTTTTTTTATTTGTACAGCTTACAATCGTTTTTTCTAGTCAGGTGATCATTACATGAACGTTTAATTTGAAACCACGATCACTTTTGTAACACCGATACTGCGTTTGGTCACCGGGTTAACGTCTCCCAAAGATACACAGCGCACAATATAATATTTTCATCTGACGATATCGATAGCCAATATGGTTTGACCACTAGATGGTTTTTCAAGTATTCTACACTCAGCGTTCGATTGTGAGAGCACTTCACAGTGGAAATGGCAAGAAAACACTATGAATTGATAAACTTCATATACTAAGGTAGGGCTAAAAGCAGGGACCAGTTGCGAACGCCATACAAACGCCGCTAAGAAGGGACTTCTGAAATAAGTCATAGATGTCTCTCAAGTTGATAAACCATGATTTCCTAATATCACCATCTGTTTGGTTTCACTTAAGAGGCATAGGCTCTCATGGAGGAAAACGCTCCCTCCCCCATTTGTTGGACGTCTTTTTGCAAGCAAGGATATTTATTATGCAATTGGCTACTGTAGTAAAGTTCAATCAAGTAACGTTTTTCGGCTTTAGGGGACTTTTATAGGGCTGTGTAAATTGGAATTTCATGGTTTCAAAGTATAAACCTTGGCAATTTCAGACCGGAATTAACCATTTAGAAAAGGTTCCCTTATAGTCAAATAATCTCAAAACTTTGGAATACGTTCTATTCACCTAGGTTTACTTAAACTTATTTAGTCAGGTAAATTGACGAGGAAGGCGTGGCCATATCAGTTGCCTTCAGACTACATGGTCAACAAGAACTGGTTTGAACACGAGTTTACTCAACAGAGCAAATAGTCTTTTCCTGACTTCCATCCGTTCATGTGTGTGTGTTCTCACAAGATTCTGACCACGTACAAGTAAAGCGTTGTGGTTTTCGAGCAAGTGGACCCTTAAGAATAGGTGGTTGGGGAAAAAGTTCAAACAACAAACGCAGAATTCGGTTTTGCACCCCTTGTCGCGTGCGTGTGGCTTCTATTACCATGGTTACCAGGGTATGACGACATTCACGCACACACGAGGCAGCACCAAAGGAAAGTGGAAAAGAATGTAATCCAACACCGAGGTTGGATGAGCTAATCTCGATGAGCGAGTTGCATTAATTGAAATTTCGCAGCCACCTGACACTGAAAAAGTTCTGAGGCTTCCGTCCAGCTGCCACACCCTTTTCTGTGGTTCGAGTTACAGCCGAATCCTTTGACGTTCTCAGGTCACATCATCTCTCATCTATATCACGATAAAAAATTTAGGAGAAACAACATGCGAAGCTAAAGCACAACAATTTTGTGCTAAAAAGTTAAGTAAACGCTTTTTACTGGAGTTGAAATCTGTGGGGCCTTGGAATACAACAAGCACCATTCAAATTTTCCGGTTTTATCCTGTAGTTTAAGCAAATATGTCATCTACTTTAGGATCTGCTTCCCTCTTGGTAAATGAGATGCAATTCTAAGTAGTGTTGAGTTGTGCTTTGTACTTTATCCTCAACCTAAAATGACATGGTACACAATACACTGACAGTTAAAAAAAGGGACTATAGTAGGAGAGAGAAATATTTCTCAGTAGTTTGCAATATGAACATGTATTTCAACACTAAAGACTGCTAGGCAATTCTCTAAGAATCGCAGTAATTTAATGACTGAAATTCTAGCCACAATGTAATGTAAATAATCCGACCCTTCTATCACACTATGTATGGACGAAATTCTGCCGAAAAATGGGATGTCGACTACTGGTAGTCGTCTGGTGTCATCTGTACGGTGTGACAATTTTGGTAGGCAGAAAAAACTTGTTCGCCGTTTTTTATTGGTAAGAACGCATCAGTCTGAATTTCTCCCGGAGAGTATATATACAAAATTGAGGAATAGGTGGAACCAGCCAATCTAAATACCTGTCGAATTGGAAATTTTTCTCATTTGACACGTGTGGCTAGTCACTTTTCATTCAATAAAGCTTCAACGTTGTGTTAACTAATAAGAAATCATGAACTTTATCAAAAGGGACGCTTGTGAGGACAAAACACACAATGATCCTCCTCAAGGAACGGAAGCCAAAGCTAAAAGAATAAGCACACCAATGAAGCGACGGTACAAACGTCTAGTAAGAAAGTTACTGACAAATGGATGGCTAATTTTCACGATAATAGCGCCAACAATAAACAGAAACTGATGAACCTAAATTGAAAGATATACGATGTTGACCTTGTTTACTGACCATTTAACATTAGCGGTACCGGCTAGACAGCAACAGTGCGATTGAAGCGCTACGAACAACATTGCTCCTTTTCAAGGATTTTATATCATCGCATCTAAAGAATTAATGCAAGGAACGTCTCCTGCAAAAGAATCGCCCGTTTTGATGATACGGACAACGAGAAGACGAAGTAAAATACTGTCAAGTGATTGGACACTCACTGATAAGGCCGCAGATAGGCAGTGATCACAAAAATTGGCATTCTCTCCTAACTTTATATGGACAGAATTTTTAGGGATTTATCTGCGAGTTAATTTTAAAGTGGGGGATTCTTTCTAACTGATTTAGAATTTTAAGTTTCTTTTCATCTGAGAACGTAGCACTTCAAAAGGTTATGTTTTTCAGGGAATTTGAAAGGTTGATTACAGTATTTTTAACGGGAAGTAAAAAAGGTGCAAGGTTATCTGACGAATTAATTCAGTTTTTTACTTCATTCAATAGTGAGAATTATTCAGTGAATTTTAAGGCTGATAGTTCTTTATAGAAAGGTGAGAAACATCAAGCCACTATCCTTGAAATGGATCAGCTGTAGGACATTCCAAGAAAGATTTCTCAAGAATAGGCTAAATAAGGTTGGTCGTTTTGCATGGTTTAATCAAAAAAGCTTAACTATATACTTCACAGAATCGTTTTTCCACAATTTGTCTAACTGAATACTTCAGCGGACACATCATATTACGATCACTTTTCTAGGCGTTCCCTACCAATCGATCGTGCACGGCACAGCCGCAAAGGCCAGCCAATGTGTATGGAACAATATTATCGTCTGTTTACATCCTACCGATATCCTGGAAAAACGAAGGATACGTTAGTAACCACAAGTGACAATGATCCTTTTGATCCTGAGCATATCATTGTGGTATGTCTTGACCAGGTTAGTACCCAATTCAACCCAACGCTCGTGTTATATTGTTATCGTTGTCAATGTAATCACCTTATTTTTCAGTTCAAGAAATACAAGTACCTTCTTGTCCACGAAAATTGCAAAACTTTAGAAAAATTGTTAAAGAGTGTTTACCAAACGCACAAGTGATATTTAGGTCAGGTAGACATTCTTATTGTCGGCCATGATTTTTTATCCCGCCTCATGGCTCCCATCTATCACGCCCTTCAAAAAGACTGTCCATTTAGGCCATTTCGAAGAGAGGTTTATAGGATGGAATGTAGAACACTGCTCCGTATGGCCCAAGAAAATTTTGGATGATGGTCTCGACAAAAGGCGCCGTTACATAACTGTACTACAACACGAAGAAACCATTCACGTAGAGCTTACTCTGCCCAGCACTAGAATACCTATGATACAAAGTGCTCCTAAAGTACAACTTCCTCCAAAAGAATAGTATTATTATTGTCTGAGCATGAATGTAGCAGAGTACGATGTAATATTATCCAGCTAGCGCACGTGACAAGTTTCTCTTTCGTGACGTTAATAGATCATGGTTTTGATTTCTCTGAAATCTTCAGTAATAAAAGACAAATTTACTCGTAGTACCTAATCAGATAATTTCGCAGAATCGAAAGTCATTTTGACCCACCCAAGCTAACAGGTGAGACAAATCCAAACAAAAGAAGTGAAGAAATGTCTAGGCGTCATTTCAAAGTTTAGGGCATTGATTTCCTTGTTCTCCTAGGCCATTTTGCCTAAAAATGTCGTTGGTTGTAGAATGTCTAGACAGTGCTAGTTCTTTTACAACATAAAATGTCCACAACAAATACGTTTTTTTGGCTTTGAAGACCCACGAACAGTGGGTACTGTACAGTGCCAAACTGACTGAGCAAATAATTTCTGAAAGTGATAGTTTTGTTAGAATGTTTCGTTAGGAAGAGCGAACAAATCATATCTCCTTGAACCATTTGCTAAACGTTTTATGGTCATGAGGCAGTTGACTTGTAACCCTTGGATGAATAGACTCTGACTCAGAAGTGAACATTTTTAATGGCTGAATCGTTCTTGACGGAACCTACTACCAATAGGGCTGCTGAAAATTTTTCTATAGTCCACAATCGGTTTAGTTTCTTTTGGAGCACATCGATTAAGTGTGGTTCTCGTGCTTTCCGTCGACTCCACGTTCTACTTGGACTCGGAATAATTGCCTTGATCCGAAGTAAAACATTGTTCCTTCGAACTTCAGGTTCTATGATGGGAAAAACAGAAAATGTCAGACTCTTGTGACGTTAGTCGTTAACCTTCTTGATAACAAGTTTTATTTTATCTGATCCCCCGAACTGAAACCCTTTCTAGTTGGCTGGTCATGGAGACGTATTCGAGACTTTGATAAAACCTGTGTCCTCTGAATACTGTTTGCATGATCACAACATACCGGACATGACCAGAATTGATTTATAATCAACAGCTTGTCACTGGTTAAAATGGTTTTGCACGGTATATTTTGCATATGAGACTTGATTCAAAGCGTGTTTCTCAGTAATGGTTATCTAGTGAACGTAATCCAGCTTTTAAGTGCGATAATAATGAGGTGAAGTTGACCTGTGCAATTTGAGTGATCAAAGCCAACCTGTTTGGAGCAGACATCCTAATTTGTTCGAACCCCTATTGTCACTTGGAATCAAGAGATACCATTTTTTCAACACGATGTACTTCATGATGTATCATCAGTTTTAAGCAGTATTTCAGTAAAACCACTCACCAAATATGTCAACGTTAATTATCACCCTTCAGGTAGTTTGGCTGGACAGCCTACTTTAAAATTTCTTGGATTTTAACATTACAAACTAACAGCATTGTTCTGTTGGTCTGGCCCATCTGGTCAGCCTTACCTGCCAGGAGGTAACATGCGAACAGGACTCCACTCCACATGACCAGAAGGTAAGGAGTCCGCACTGAGTGGTGCGAATTCCTCAGGACCAAGGTTCGTCTAATAACGGAAGCATTTACTGGACAAAAAGCTTTTATTTTTATAATTCGACCGCTGAGGATACTTTTTCAGATGCACTAAAACGTCTCTGAATTCATATCCAAGATCCAAAGCTACCGGGGTCGGAGGTAGATAATCATTGGCATATACGACAGTTATACTTTTACACCATGAATGCAGATAGCCAACGACCAGGGAACATAGGGAATAGAATTTTTATAGAAAATTTGTGACAGCTTTAGCAGAGCACCACTAAGAAACATGTTGCCTAGGTAAGCAGATCAGATTAACGTATCATCAAGAATAAGCAATCACTTTTATCAGTACATTCTGCTTCAGAAGTTTTTGACAATCGAGGTCTGTTCAGAGGAGAACATAGGCAATCTTCACCGAAGTTGTATAAAAAAAACGACTAAAGTTCAAAATTTATTTTCAAAGAATATTTGAAGTGTAAAATAAAAGTGAGTAAGAATAAAATACAGGAGTCATAGTGAAGCTTAAACTGCATTGTTTTGTTCACTTGACTACCATCTGTACTCTATGCACGTTCACTTGTGCATTTTATACACAAAGACCCCCCTACTCGATATAAGCTTACGTCGCCGTTTCTGAAGCTACAAGATGTGAGATTGCACGCTTAAATTTGATATTTTGATTGAAAAAAGGAGTAATCTCCCTGTTAAGATGCGAAAGGAGCTGATGCGTTCTTCCAATGACTCGTGCATAATGTTGAACTTGTTCATCTGTTTACGATATAGTTCTTCGTTATGGAAGTGATCTTCAATGGAACACGTTTGTCAGAAGAGGATATTTACAACCAGTTGCGTCGCATAACACAATTTGCTGAAGAAGCTGTCAGTGGAGATAACGATTTGGGGGTTCAACCGAGAGTTGGAGCACTGACCGCCTTACCTAGAAACGAATGGGCTGAGGTGTGGGAGCGAATGGCAAAAGGTGAATTCTTTGTTGTTTTGCTAAAAGCTTACGTATCGGAGGAATTTTACCCATCTTGTATCCAACCAACGTTTCCTCTTCCCAGCTTTTACTTGCACAAACGCTCACCTACTCTCCAAACATATTGTATTTTATTATAAGATAAACCAAGTTTGCCAAAAAGGTGGAATAGCAACACTACATCTTGAGGCTAGAAAGCCACCCTGAATCTAAGCCCACAGTTTATAAGCCAGTTAGATGTTGAAATAGCACGGAATATTTCAATCTAACCTAGACACACCTAGTCGTTTTTATCTTAATTTAGTCTTAATTACAAACAACTGACAGAGGTCCATAACAAGCTACCAAGAAATGCCTCCTCTTTGTAGACCACTAGCAGGTATTTTAACTCCCATACCACTGGAGAAGGGGACGCAAACACAAAAATGTTCAGCTGTAGCACTCTCTCAGTGCCTAACTGCCAAGTCAGCCGTAGGAAGCACGAAGGCCGTGATACTGCCAGGTTGCCCAAGCCTAGACAGGGATAGAGAGGTCGGATTCCAACCACTGACCTTCCGGTCAGTAAAGTTGCGATCTTAGTACTAAGCCATCTAGCCCAAACCCATTTAGGTGCACTTGGTGTCACTGTTTTTTTAGACACCCTAGGTACCACAAAATAGTTTGGGTTGTCTTGTTTTTCACGATGAGTTCGAATACTCAATGAATACACCAAAGGACTCATCATGACTAGGCCCCTGGTTCATAACCATATTTAGTGAAGGATACGATACTTCTAGGTCGGGAGCCTAATACTTAGGCTGCCTGTGGATGAGGCAGCGAGATTAGTTAAGTACTTATCATCTTGCTCTGGGAATAGACAATACAGATTGCACATATGCCAACACTCGCCAGCCTGTTGACATGATTCTCCGAAGTCATTACCCCAAGTCGCTCATCGTATTTTATATAGTTATAAATTTTGATTCTAGACATTGTGAAGAAAGTTGAAAAGGAATACAGTTTCGCTACATTTGTTCTATTTATCATGCTGTCCGGTTATTGCAATTGTTTCTCTGCAGATCCGCAAAACCAAGCGAATCTCAAAGCTATTACGAAAAGTATGTTTGTGCTATGTCTGGATCAGCCAATCGGTCCAGTTCGTGAGCTGGACGAGGAGGCTAACTTGAACGGATCTATTGATGACCTGGCCGAGGCTCCTGCTGAGTACAGGCGAGACGATGTGTCATTGGCTTTGCAACTACTGCATGGTTTTGGTAGTAAATACAACGCCGCAAACCGCTGGTACGATAAAACAATGCAGGTGAGCATTTCCAAAATTCATCCCGCCCAGATGAATTTTATTCTCCTGGGCCAGATGCTCCGCTCATCCACTCTCGACAGGAAAACAATGTGACAGGGTTAGCTGAACTCTTGTTGAGTCCGGCAGCACCGAACACAGTTGTGGCAAAAACGCATAAGCGTTCGGTGATAATTTCCCACGCATGTCTTTCTATGCATCTTCGTGCCTCTGTAAGTTGCTCGAGTCCGACGGGCGTAGACAGCTGGTGATGGGCGCGGGAGTTGAGGCAACAGGTGCTTCACTGACATGCCACTCCCACGGTCTCGCGTGCGTTCGTGAAAAAAACGACTAATCGATGACTGTTCACATCAAGCATCCAAGTGAATAAGTTGTCCACCTCTCGTATAATAAAAATGCATGGGGATAATAAGAAAACACAACCGTCCCAAGAGAAACATTTCGCGCTCGTCCCATTGTTCATCCATAGCACTAGGAACACTGTAACCTAGCTGTGGAGTAAACATCCTCCAAACAAATGCCGATTGAGTGACTAATTGGGATGTCCACTTCAAGTCGCCGTTGGATAATAACCAGTTATTGAAGAATAACAAGTTGTCCGTTTATAAATGGCCTTTACATAGATTGAAAGTGTTTCGGGGAATTCCTTGAGGGAAAATATGCAAAATGAACACAATTAGGCTGAATTTTAGCCATTAGATTTTCGTGAATACCACTTAGGATGAAAAAAACTAGTCTCCTCTGTCTTCACAGTCCCGATTCACACTTTCTATCCAGAAATTAAAGCTTTAAATATATCAGAATAAGGGACCTTATTGGGCAGGTAAACCTGGTATAAAATTACAAAAGCAGAATTTGCCGTCACCTCGTTCGTCATCTCAAAATAATTCTAAGGTCTTATTCGATGCTCTGGCACTGGAAAATTGGACCTCAGCCGTTTGTTGATAGTTTGTGCAGCTGTAGCTCAAGAAATATGAGTGCTAGAGATACTTAGTTGTTTTCAGAACACTTCAGTGCTTCGGACAAAACTCCTATTCGTGCACTGAATACTTTTGGACGTCTTTTGCATGCCCAGACTCTTTTTTGTAGTTCGCTGAATATTTAGCTCCATAGATTTTCTGGGCTACTGGTTAGTCTTTACACAGATAGTTAACTTGCGCACACACCGATTTCTTTCGTAAACCACAAAAACTTTTGAAGATAGCTCTTACGCTGACCAGACTTATGGAAATAAAACGTGACTAAATTCACTGTGCTGTTTGCTTTCTTTTGCCTGTTGGGAGGAAATGTGACTCTTCAGTGACTTCTTAGAAACTCATTGAAGCAGAACAGTGCTGATTTATCCTTAGAACAGCATGTTTGAATACCCTGCTCGTTGCATAGATAATTGTTACTGCTAGCGCTCTCCTAATTCTAGTCAGGCGTGCAAAAAGAATTCACGCGGTGAAATCTTTGGGTGGGTTTTGCTGCTATAAGTGTAATACTGAAGCAGTGAAGTTGTGTTGTGAGCTTGTCTTCGACATAATGCATATTTTTGCTAACAATTTTATTAGTGAATAGAGCATCGCAGAATCATTTATATTTTCAACACTGGACAAGGAAGTAACTCGATGAAATTTTATGGTAGACTGGGACCTGGTATCACTTTTTCTAAGAATAACAATTTGATTCATATCAAACTCAGGTCACTCATTATTATTGTGCCCAAAAGCAAGGTATTGAAACAGTATTAAGAAGAAAAAGGGGTTAGCTGACGGCCATTCTCAAAGTTGCCTCTCTAACCCCCATTTGCTGACCAAATCAGTGACCGGAGAGTACATACATGAGTCTTAGAAACAAAATTTGACTTGGTTTGATGGGCGCTCCAGTTAGAGCATAATTCTGCTTTCCCCACTTGTTTAGTTGGTGACTGAGTGTCACGCCAGCAGGACGAATTCTATTTCAGAACGTATGTATTCCGTGTCACTTGGTAACCGACATGATTCATATTAAAAAATCAGAATCAATAATTTGGTAAGAAAACATATGAACGACTTGAAACCTGACAAAAAAACAAAAACTAAACACATGACTCAAGTAAATGCTTAGTCCAAGAACAAGATATTTATTCACATTATGAAATGATTTGGGAATTCCATTTGGAATTTCTTGCTGCAAATGAAGCCCCTTAATACTCAGTAGCAGTGAAACATTGTACACGTCTTTCAGTCTTATTCGGAATCTTCAGCAGTACTCATCTCATGAAACTCTATGGCAATTAGAACCTGTGCTTGAACACAGCCGTCCGGCCACGAGTGGCTGATCAGCATTCCTAATATCTCGCGCTTCGACAGGTGATAGCGCAACTCACCCTTTAATCACATCGCACATATTACAAGCCCACGTGCTGACTTTTTATCCAATGACCATATGAAAGGGTCAGTTATACTTGAACTTATATGTATATATATACCCATATATCAGCAGAACCTATTTAGAACTGGACATATAAGTGAAGGAGCACCAGTCCAAACAACAATGTACACACCCGGATGACTTTTGTTTTACATTGAGGGAGTCACTAGTCGAAACAACTATCACCACGGGGAGAGTCGACACAGGACACGGAGATGAACCTTGTTGGTCCACAACACGAATCAACTGACTCTATAGTTGAAAGTGGTCGTTTATTCGTTCGCTGAGGATGACAGTTTGTTTCCATGCGTTTCATCATCAGTCGAAGTAACATTATCAAGATGTTGTGCGTGAAAAAGCGCGATAGATGAAAGCACGTGATTTTCGAGAATACATGGGTTGACATAGTGTTTATTCGCCCAGGTTCACCCCGACCGATCGCTGATCGTTGGGGTTATCATTCCTACTGGCTCTTTGTTTTATCCGTTCCTTGATTGGTCGGTGTCCGGGTGACCTTGGGACTTGGTCACTCCAGTTCCCTCCGTTGTGACCTATGTTCGTTCTCCTCCATATTGAGTCTCGTTTATCCGACCGGGTCTAAATCAGTTTTGCCACCCAATGGGCAGTTCCTAGCTGCTAGCGGTGCGTAGACAGGGTTGATTTGAAAATGCCGATGTGCGGAGTTCTATGCTTTCAGAAATTCCCTGTTATGTGTGGAACTTCCGTGTGCCCCGGTCTTCGTATCTTCTGGATTTGACTAGTGTCCTTCTTGCTCTTCGTGTACGGAAATGAGGGATACTAGGTCGTGGCTTATGATACCCGACTTCTGTAAGGGGTTTTTTTTCCAGTCTATCCGATACGTTTGTTGAGATTCGTGCAGTTTATTTTGTACACAATATTTTTTTCTTGCGCTTCTGCCGTCTTTGCCTTTCAGTAGTTGAATAATTTTTCCTAGTGCAGTGGCCCTTTGGTGGGGTCTCGAACGCTCTTCCTTTGTTTTGATCTCCCTGATAATTCAAATATGTTATTGATATGCGGAAAGACCTCTGTTTGACTGGTTGATCTTGACGATCATTTTGTTATCAAAAAGCCATTTTCCTAGAGCTTTTGCTGGTCAATTTTCTGGGGTATACACTGTTTTGAAATACACGATAGAGGCGATATTCTATCCGTGTGAGTTCTGCTGTGTTGCAGTGCGTATTGGCGCTCTCTTGAACAGAACTTTCTTGTGCCTCATAGGATGGCGGCTGTAGTATCTGAGTCGGTGTATTTCTTCTAATGTACACATTTTTGAGGAACTTCTTTGTTTCTGAGCATCACTGCATTCAGAGAGGGTATGTAGCCATTTATTTTAGACTAAGTTGTATATCTTCACATTTCTTGTTCAGCAATTCAGTTGCATGTTTTGCTGCATCCTGCTTCATACTAACGGGAGCATCCCATACATCACCTATTCGGAACCCAGCTAGATGACAATTTGTTCTAGTTCTGTGATTATCTGCTGTGGCTGACATAATGGATTCGTTTACTATGGATTCCTGAGTACCTCTTGTTTTGGTTACACCTTGTTTATGCGCTTCTATATCTTTCAAGCACCGGTGAAAAGACCCGTAAATTTGCTGCTAGGCATTCTCGGTCATCAGGTTTGTTTCAAAGCATGTTTTAAGTTGATCAGGTAGTCTTTTTGTGATGCATCCTTGGGATTGAATTTGAGCCTTTTTGTTAGGCGATCCTCTTTGTTTTAACTGATGGACTAAGAAACGGGAATCGATGTGAAGTCAAACTAAAATAGGTCACAACAGAGGGAACTGGAGTGGCCAAGTCCCAAGGTCACCCGGACACCGACCAATCAAGGAACGGATAAAACAAAGAGCCAGTAGGAATGATAACCCCAACGATCAGCGATCGGTCGGGGTGAACCTGGGCGAATAAACACTATGTCAACCCATGTATTCTCGAAAATCACGTGCTTTCATCTATCGCGCTTTTTCACGCACAACATCTTGATAATGTTACTTCGACTGATGATGAGATACATGGAAACCAAAAGTCCATTTCAGCTTCCTTCAATAAATCTTGGCTCCCAATATTTTCTTTAGTTACAAACACCAGTATTGCACCTGGCGAGACTGTACCATGTGAATTATTCTCGAGATGGTTATTTTTGGCTTCTGGAGTTATGCTTCTGTTTTTTCTTTCCACTGTCTTATTTGCTTAGATGAGTAAATTTGATGTTGTTTGCTGGTGACAGTGCGCGAATTACGTACTTTTTAACAGGCCGGTTGACTGAGTTTGCCGCGTAGGGATGTGCCTCCGGAATTTTCTTGTGTTGTTTAGTAACCTCCAGATATTAGCATCTTCCTTTATGGGCCCTAAAAAATATGAATCATTTCGTTTGCTGACGTTTGTGCTCGCTAGTGTGCAGAAAAGTTCTTTTGAGATTCTTGGGCTATGCTATTTACAGCAGTCTATTTGTACTATCTGATATCTCTGTCGTATAACATACTTTTAGGAATTGTATAGCTTGCAAATCTCACAAGTAGCGTTCTACGGAGCTCGGATACATTCCACCTGCCAAGCTAGTTCGTAAAGACGTGCTGAAAGTAGAA